TTATGCATTATTATTGGGGATTGACGCATTTCAACGTACTAGTAGCTATTTCTCTGGTTCTGGGTTGATTTAAATGATACATTTAAATATCACCTACCAGAAAAGCGTTTCGGACGCACTGGATTTATAAATTGTTATTCCTATTTTGTAGCACTCGGTCGGTACTGGCATAAAAATACGGATTTTGTGTTATTAAAATTTGCTGTTACAAAATTTTGGAAATTATTTTAGATTAAGGAATATATCTCCCTCATGAAAAGCTCTGATTCCTTGCCCGGCTTTGGCTATCCTTTTTTGTCCTTTTTGGTTTAAAGCTCTTCATCTTTTCAATAAGCGTTGGATTTTCAAATATTTTGGCCTCGAGCATCACTGAAGAGACACTGATTATCGAAATGCGCATCTGGTCCAGCAGCAAAATTGGTACCGTTTATGTTATTGATACCGCTGCTGTTGAACTGTAAGTTCCAGAGGGTATCTGAGCTCAGTAATCAGACACTTAACTTAACATACCTTTCTTAAACTATGCATTCATATAAATTTAGAAATAATGAAGAAACTAAGGTTCGATCTCCATCAGCTGGGAAAATTAAACTAATTCTTTAGTGTACCTTTTGATCATATAGCTCCTCCAGTATTCAGGATTTATACATTCATGCCTTTCGTTTTTGTTTTTGTTTTAGCGTTCATGATGAAGATAAATCCAGAAAAGCAAATCGGTCTCACCAAAGTGTTTTTCCATTTTCAGTTCATCAATTATTTCTTCTTAAACTTATTTTACACCCATTTTTACAAATCTTAAAGCAAATTTCCCAATTTTACCTAGTTTATTACGATACTTCGAAATCTAAACAAATCATACAAAGTAAAATTGAGAATGGAAATGGGGAATGTGTCAAAGAGACAACAACCCGACCATAGAGCAGACAACAGCCGAAGGCCACCAATGGGTCTTCAATGCAGCGAGAAACTCCCGCACCCGGAGGCGTCCTTCAGCTGGCCCCTAAACAAATATGTATACTAGTTCAGTGATAATGGACGTCATACTAAACTCCAAATTATTCACAAGAAACTAAAATTAAAAATGATACAAGACTAACAAAGACCAGAGGCTCCTGGCTTGGGACAGGCGCAAAAATGCGGCGGGGTTAAACATGTTTTTTGAGATCTCAACCCTCCCCCTATACCTCTAGCCAATGTAGAAAAAACAAACGTACAACAGTACGCACAGTAAAACTCAGTTTAAGTGAAGTCCGAGTCCGATGTCGGAATAGGAAACAAAAGAAAATAAACAAAATGACAATAATACATAAATAACAACAGACTACTAGCAGTTACTGACATGCCAGCTCCAGACTTCAATTAAACTGATTGAAAGATTATGTCTTCATCATATGAATATCATGCACAATCCCTCCTGTTAGGGGTTTAGTATTATACCATCATAAAATATATGAGAAGAACATAACCCGTGTCATGCCAACAACTGGTTTTAGAATAAATATGTTTAATTCCGATGCAAAGACCCTATAAGTGAATCAATATTAAAGCCAAAATATGCAATCTTTAATGACCTGACAACAGTATCGTAACCATATCCCTTCTTAATAAGTCTGTTTAAAAAGCGCCATTTTACTACATGTCTAAACCATCTTTAATAGTTTGAATAAAATCTGTGCTAGAAGAAGAAATCGATGAACAAGTATAGTGGAGTTTCTCATTGACAACATATTGGTTGAATTTGGAGGTAGAATATTCCAGCTGGTTGTCAGCATGCCTATGGGAACCAATTGTGCACCTCTTCTGACCGACCTTTGCTTATTTTCATATGAGTTGGAGTTCCTTCAGACACATGTTAAACACAAGAAAATAAAAGAAGCTAGATCATTTAATTTCAAGAACAGGTATATTGATGATGTTATTTTCATTAACAATCCAAACTTTTCTGATTGGGTCCCATTGATATATCCTCCTTTCTCTTAGAGATTAAAAAAAAAACCAATCTACCTACTTCACCTGCGTATGAAATATACATTTCTCAACTCATACGATATTCAAGAGCTTGCAGCTCTACCCAGACTTCATCGTTGTCTGAGCAAAATAATAACGTGCCAGGGTTTTGTCAAAGAACATGTCCTTTTTCTTAAAAATAAATAACACAATATGGTCTTGAGTTACAGATTCTCGGTGGTGAAGTTGTGTATCTTTTTATTTACTTTGCAGTTCTCCCCTTATTTTTAATTGTTCTATTATGTTCGTTTTGGTCGTATGACTCTTGGCGTGACTCCATATTGGTGCATCCACCTATTGGGGTTTTGGCTTTAGGCGTTTCTTGTACAGGTGCGATTCAGAAGCAAGAGGTTTCTACAGTGTTATCTTCATTTTGTTTACCATTGTATTTATATTTCAATTAACTTGCATTTTTTGTCGGAAAAGTGTATACTAGTCCGGCTTTATGATAGAAAAACAAAGTATATGTGGTATCCATCCATGACACAAAATCAGTACATGCACAGCAATTATGATTGTATTTAATGTATGAATTATTAACTACAAATCTTTTTTGTTGTCAGATTTACTATCAACTACAAAAAAGTTTTTTGTTGGCGTCACTGTCATAATAGAAAAACAAAGGATATGGGGTATCCATCCATGACACAAAATCAGTACATGCACAGCAAAAAAACACACAATAAGCAAAGGAACAGCGCTTTTATTGCTGTTCCTCATCTCAAAGTCACAGTGAGGCCTTCAACATGGAGCAAAAAAATTTATTTATTTGTATGTTCGTTTAAACTATTAGTCAGTTTGTTATATGTCTGTGATGTATGTTTACACAGTTTTTGCTGCTGGGTGCAAATTATTGTCACATAAAACAATTATCAGGTTTAGTCCACCATGTTCTTCGGAAAATCCAGATACCAAGTCAGGAATATTACACTTTTTTCCATTCGTTATGTTAGTTGATATATACGTTTCAATCTTTTCAAAATCCCACGCGCGACATATAAACAACCGAACGAAAATGAGGAGCAAAAGCGGAGAACTAATTTTAATTAGATTGTATATGTTTGATTTTGTCAGATTTTATGGACTTCCCCTTTTTTGAATTTGCCACGGAGTTCGGTATTTTTGTTAATACTTTTTTTCTAAATATTATTTATAATGTAATTATACCAGTTCACCTTTTAATCTTTTATTTTGATTTGATTCACATCTTATACAACTGTGTTGTATCATTCAGTAAAATATTTCAGGATGACTGACAATTTAAATTGATATATCTACTTTTTCATAGATCTGAACCAATCAAAGAATACTAGTATTGAATGCACTGACACATATATATCAAGTTCAAATATTTTAACGTCCTTAGTCATTATACTGAATTGCTAATGAAACACATATTCCAACTCTATATCATACAAAATATAAATTGTAAAATGCTGTTTAACTTCTTAGATTTGAGTTTGTCTTACTGCTTTTAAATCAATAAAGAAACTCTTAAAAGATCCCAGGCTAATCCAGACGCGCGTTTCATCTACATAAGACGCATGAGTTGCGCTTGCATTAAAAGAGTCGCATGCCAAATCAAATACTACGAATCCGAAGAGCATTAATGACAAAACAATCCGAATAATGTGCAAAAAAATGGCTAAGGCAATCTTTACCTGGGGGCAGAACAACCTTGGCGTTTTGAATATTTCCACATTTTATAAACAGTAATAGTAAATTTGCAGAAAATGAACAAATCAATGACATTTCACCTCAGCACAAAATTGCTGAATACTGAGCTGGGATACCCTCAGGTAACAACTGATATAAACAAGAAAAAATTAAATATTGAACAAATTCTAGGACTGTAGTCAAACTATTAATTCTGTTGCATAAATCTTTTACCCTGATTTAGTTTTGTATGATTTATATAATGTTATGCTGTATCAAAGTCTCTTTGTTAAATTTGCATAGTAACCATGTATATAAAAAAAAATAGAAGTTGATTCAGTCAGTGTAATTGAAATAAATTTTTTAAGTCAATTTTAATGATTTATTTATTGTCCACGTAATTTCATACACTGCATGTAAAGAAAAAGAATGTATGAATAATATCGCCTGTGTTCATTTCACTCACATAGTCAATATCGGAAATTGTCATATGAAACATATTGCAATCATTGTTAAAGAATCTGAATATTATACTGAAAGAATTACCCAAACTATTAAAAATATCAATAGCTATACATGTTATTCAAATGTATATATTGTTACTGAAGAATCTTTTGATAAAATAATATATATTTTATATATGCATTATTTTATTTTACACTGAATGAGACTCGTCACCTAATTTTTACTTACATGATACACACTACATGTGCCATTAGTGCAGCAGGATCTGCTTACCCTCTCTGAATACCTGATATCGTCCCCAGGTTTTGTTGGTGTTCATGTTTCTCAGTCTTTTGTTGTAAATGTTGTTTTGTGAACTTGTTTTTCTTATCGTCGTCTTCGGTTTTTGCCATGGCGTTGTCAGTTTATCTCGACTTTTTGAAAGGTCCCCTTGGTATTTCCCGACATTTTTTTTTAGATGTGTGCAAACCTTGAACTAAAATTAATGTGTTTGTATTCGAAAAACAATACATGAACACACTTACGTTAAACGCTTTCAATAACCTGCGGTATTAGCCATTTAAGTAAATCTTAATCATTATTCGAAAATTTACCATTTTGACAAATAATTGCTGCGTGTAATGTTCGTACCCTTTTTTACTCGTAGCAATAACTGTCAATTAAACACAAGAAAAATAAATAATGCTTATCTCAATATTACTTTCATGCGAATTATCGTTGTAAACGCTTCCCAAGAAAGACAAAGACAAAATAATTAGTTAACTCTAAAGCTTAATATATTAAATTGTTTTAACTTTTTCGTTCTCTCGAGTATATTTGAAGATTTAAATATTTGATCGTGCAAATAGGCCACAAGTGATAGGTATATTTTAATCGTCTCTTCCTGGTTCTAAATATTAGTTCAGACTATAATGGCAAGGCTTACTAGTTTGTTACCTTTTTTGTTGGTATATTTTTCGATAGTATTTTCACAGGAGTCTGGTAAGTGTGTTTCCTTTCAAATAAAACATGAGATAAATTCAATTTAAGGTGAACGGAATCATGTATCTTTCTAATTAGTTCAATTCAAAACAGAACTTAAATCACTGAGACTTTCCTTTCACACGTTTTTCCTTGTGCTAAGAAACTATTATTTTAAACGTCAAGGCAGTAGTTTTTGAAAGTTAATGGATTATTTATAGACCATATAAAGATAATTTACTAAATCTATACAGAGAAATCTTTTAGCATTGGTTAGGAAAATCTCTGTATGATAATTATGTATAAAAATAAGAAGATGTGGTATAATTGCCAACGACACAACTCTCCACAAGAGACCAAATTGCACAGAAATTAACAACTATAGGACACCGTACGGCCTTCATGTGTATATTTTACGAAAAGCCACACTACACATATGGAAAATGACAATCATAGGGGTCATTGTGATTTTCAATTTGAAAAAAAAACATTTTAAGAAAAATAATGATAGTTTAAGTAAGTTAAATCGGGTGAATCTGAGGGAGTTTTAAAAACTCAGTTTAGTGTAAACGTATGCGTAGTATAACTATTTAAAACTAGTACAAGTATGATACTTATCAACCAAATAGTTTAATTTCTCGACCGTCATTCAGTATATCGAGAAAAATGTTAGAAAACAATTCGATGCATTACATTTGCGTGAATTGCCTCTACATTTGCGCGTAAAGATAATTTCATTTGCGGGTAAAGATAATTTCATTTGCGCGTAGATTATTACTTTTTAGCGCAATCAGTTTACAAGTAAACACTGGTAAATTTTAAGAAATATGGGTATGATATATATAAAATACAACCGTAGTTTACCGAATTTAAATTTCAAATGCAATTTTTTTCGTTTGAATCTTTATTTTAGTATTTCAGTTTTAATCAACCTCACACAAAACAGTACTATTTGAATTAAAAGGAGGAGAAATATTTCACATAGTTTATGGAAAAGATTCTAAGGATAAATGCCTTACATTACAAAAACTGAAATGCTTGAAAGTGAAATCGTGCATTTTTTATAACGTTTTCACTGACATTGAAATCAGTTCTTGATCGAAACCAATCAGAAGTTTATTCGAGCCTTGATCACTTTACAATATTGTAATTAACGATTTAGTGCGAGGGGCTATGCCCCGAACACTTCATTTAATATCATATACCTTTCCCTTGACTTTCCAATTTAGCTCCTATTTACAACTCGAGTAATCTTATGAAAGTCATAGGATACCTTTAATGTAAAACAAAAAATTGAATTTGTTTTATATACTTGAATGGTTAGGTTTTGCTATAAAAACACGTTTACGTGGACATTCTTTTAAAAGATAATCCTTTATCTTATTAAAATCTTCAGAAATGTACTGCTGGTGAATTATTATCTTCCCGTACTTTAATTCGCCGATATCTTTTCCGTTTAACATGACCTTAGCCACGAGACTACAAAAATGTAAACAAAGTTGTAAGTTAGATAGCGTAAATTAATTCCGAAAGACAAATTTTTATACACCAAATCATTTAACGCTTGTTATGACAAAGTTCAATTTACAAATAGAAATGCATGAAATACATGAAAACAATTAAACATTGCTCTATTGCATGACTAGTATCTCACTTATTTTGCACGTGCTCCATGATTCTGTGTAGACTGTTTATTGAGGTCACTATCAGTAAAGTTCAACAAAATCATGAACGTTAATTAGAAGGGAAGTGTTTTAGTAAGTGAATTATTTGTTTTATCGATCATATGTTATGGATTCATAATAAATGTAAAAAACAATCGTGCATAGAGGACTAGGTGTATCATATATCAATTCATGATGAAAGGAAAAGTTTCTTAAGAACGTTTAAAAAAAGATCGCCATCACAACATTTTATGAGACATTATTATTTTCTCTCAAGTAAATACATTACAAATCCTCGTCCAATCAAGTTGCTTGAATTTCCCTTCAAAAGGATTCATAGTACATACTTTTGTTGTGTACAAAGTAACTGCATGGATGAAGGATGACGACAATAATGAAATTGGTTCGTACTTTAATCAAGGTATCAAGAATCATACTTTTTATTTTTTATTTAAATGATAGTATCGGGTCTTTTAATAATATTTGTTAAACCCCTGGATATATAAAAATCAATGTGAAGAATAATTCCATACACTTCTTTAAAATAGGACACAAAATTATATTCCAAAATAGCCTGAGGCACTTTTTCCCTTGATATATAGATTACAATACAACAAAATCTTACCCTTATGGGCATTTATGCATAGTACAAAAAATAGAGGTAGTCCCATAACAGTGTGGACAACCGTAATGATTATATTTTTTTAAATCGAATCATTTACCTTTCGATAACAATGATTTTACGCTCACTCAGTCTGTCAGAGGCCTTGCAGTGGGGATTTAAATAATCACTTGTTTCACATTTCGATACATAAAATTAAACTTTCTTTCAACAAAATTTAAATGGAATTTGTTTTAAACATTCTTTTTATCAGCACACCCAACAGTTTCACTTGAAATAACAATAAATGTGCAGAGAAATATCGTTAAATTATAGAAAAATATATCAAATGTAAAACATGTCGATTTTTATTTTGTACCATATATGTAAACACAAATGAATATGGTATAAAGATGATTTTTTTACGGCAATGTGTTAAAAATTGTATTGTATGTCATGCAGTTATAAACAATTGTAAACACATAGTAGTCCATCATGCATTGCAACTCATTCAGTGGATTGTTCGGTCAATTGCCCAGAAAAAAAAGCATTATTTGTAAACAAACACTGATACATGTATTGGCGGAAGCATAAGAATGCTAAATATTGCATATCCGTATAAGGAAATCAGATACAGATCCAGTATTTCGAAAACGAAGGGGGCAAAATTGACCACGTTAGGAGTAGCACATGTAAAAAGTCTATGCACTAACCATGTATGAAGCTCCATATCCCCCTTACTTAAATCCACCTCTGGAAATATCCCGACCTGATAACTGCAGCAGTTGAATCATAACAATCTAATTAAGAATTGTACTTACATTTTTTTTATCTATCCATGCATTAAATAATGTGTTCATAATATCTTGGTAGTAGAATAATTAACCAAAAGCCTCATACTAAACAGATTAATTGTAACACATAGGTTGTAACACTGTTACAGGGTGTTTTTTTGTCTAATCGATATAAGAATATGTGGTATGAGTGCCAATGAGACAACTCTCCATCCAAGTCACAATTTGTAAAAGTAAACCATTATAGGTCAAAGTGCGGTCTTCAACACGGAGCCTTGGCTTACACCGAACAGAAAGCTATAAAGGGCCCCAAAAATGACAAGTGTAAAACCATTCAAACAGGAAAACCAACGGTCTAATCTATATAAAAAACGAGAAACGAGAAACACCTATGAGCCACATCAACAAACGACAACCACTGAACATCAGGTTCGTGACTTAGGACAGGTGAAAACACATGCAGCGGGTTTAAACGTTTTAATAGTATAAACTACAAATTATCAGGTGTTACAGTTCATCAGCTCTCCGTTTGTTATTTTAATCTGAGCATACACCTTATGCTTTATTTAGTATATAGCAAAGTGCTCTCAGCCAATGAATTTGTAGGAATTGGTGTTTCTTAATTGTGAAGAATGAAAGTAAATCATGTTCTTAGTAAGGGATTATCCTATTGCTTAGGCCTATTTACAGTTCAAAACAAAGAGTTTCTATAAATGAGTTACAAGTGCCCGAAGCACATTTATCAGCTTGAAAGGATTTGTGATTGAAACTGACTAAAAGTTTAATCTTAAAACAAACAACAAAATCAAAATAAGTCGAAGTTTACTGGTGCACTAAAATTGGTACCATTAATGTTATTATAAGAATATTTATAACTTCAAACTTACTAAAAAATTAAACAATATCAAAGCGATGCAAAAAAAGTATTAAAATCAAATATGACCTAAATCTTTAGCTAATACGCTTACCAAAACTCAGATTACTGTTTCCGCTGTTGGTAAGAACAGTAATTTCCAATAATCCGATAAGATTAAGAAAAATGCAGAAATTTAATTTAACTTTTGAATATATATAAAAAGCATTTTATATGAACATTTAGTTTTAGTTAATTACTTCACACAATGAAGTAGTATTTGGTGTAAAAAGCTTGACTCCTCTATTGGCTGTGAAACAAAATTTAGTTGTAACTCATGTCTTGAATTCATTGATTTGAACTAATAAACAAAAAGATAATTCCTCATTAAAATATTACATGATTAACATTCATACTCACAATTAGTAAACTTATACAACTCCTACTATTTCATCGTACTGTTGTATCATCTAACGTCTAAAATACACAATTTATTTTTAGTGTACATCACTAAAACGAATCCATAAATGAAATAAAATGCCTAAAAGGAAGTCATCCATTAATTATAACCTTGCACTGACAATGAAACAAATTCTTGAATACAACGAATCAAGAGATCATTTGAGCCTTGAGCACGTTACAACATTCTAAGTTTTTTAGAGAATGATAATCCCTTTCTTCATGATAAGTACCCGCTAAAACTCGTACTTAACCATGAAGAAAGGGATTATCATTGATTTTTCTCTTACAAATACTAAACGTAGACACAAAAGAAGAAAAAGTGAGTTGAAGGTCACTGAAAAACGCGCGTGTTCTCGATAAAGTACATAGTAGTCCATCATACATTGCAACCCATTCAATGGATTGGTCAATTCTTTAAGTCAATAAATATTGCTTATTATGCAATCAAACATTTATATTAGAGGGAACGTTAGTGTGCCAATGAATGATAGTGTACCCGTCCTGATTAAATGTATTTATGTTTCGTAGGAAAACATACTTTTTCAGGAAAAAAGGTGAAAAAACTAATTCATATCAATTTAGAATTAGGGATAAAAAGAAATACGACACTGAGATTAAAAAATATTATTCCTGTATGTTCATAAGAA